TAATTTATCATATACGGCATTACTCTACTCATTAGAGTCAATTAGATCACTGCTATAAATCGTTAGCTCGACTGTTTGTTTTCTGCTGCTCCTGTTTTGCTTTTCAGGGCACTACTGCTGGTTTGGTACCACGATGGCTGCATATTTCTGTCTCACGTGTGATTAATAAATGTTATATTTGCTGTCAAGGCTGCAGCCAGGCCGTTGTGCTCTCCCAAAACCACTTGCAGAGTTTCGAGAGCTCACTACAACTGAGCTTGGGTCTGGAAGCAATAGTTTTAGATGTGTTTATCCTAGATCCAGGTTTCCGCAGACCTCTGGAACAACCCCACAGAGTTAACCACAAAGCTACTTTGAAGTAATTTGCTTCATGGCATTCCATATGAAATCAAGACTGAAAAGGGAAATCTAGAAGTTAGTCAAAATCCTGGAACATTTGTAAAAGCCTTGTAAGTAATAGAAATACAAGCTTAAAACATACATGAGGTGTTTCATTCCAATTTCTTAATGATTAAGTGATTGCTCAGCTTCATCTGCTGCAAGCCCACTGTCAGCTCACAGGAAGATTATTGAAGGCAGCTCAGAAATACGTCGCTTCACTCAAACAACCCAGATGTCATCTATTTGCCAAAGTGGTAAAGCTGATCAGAATTATTTCAGTTGCGCTCAGTTGTTGTATTCAGTTTATATATAGCTGTTTTCAGGTTGTATTCAATACTTTATGGGTATCCAGTTTCGCTTTTCTATTTGATATTAAAACAGAGGAAAACCCCGGCTCAGCCAGCATATGCTTTCGCTTGCACGCAGAAGGCAGAACACAGGAGGCAGCCTTACAGCTGACCGAGATTGCAGAAGAACTCATTTCAAGTAACACAGGGCAGAGATCGCTCTTGGAAACTTTTTTCAGATAGGTACATGGTTCTTTTTATTCATCTTCAAAACAACATAACAAAAAAAGACATTCGATAAAATTGCCTTTATACCATGACTAAATATGTCCACTTCTGGCAAAGGGGGCTCCACATCCAGTCTCGCTCTTTTCTTCATTTATTAAAGCTGTCCTTAACTTTTCAGATAGGATTAACCTATCCAGTTCCCCATTCTCTGCTCCCACATTTACTATGTTTGTTTACAGGTATCTCCAGCTTGTCTCATCCACAGGTCACCTCCACATGCGTGACAATTTGGGCTGGCAGCACTTCTGCTGGGGTTTGCAAATTGTGTTTCCCTAAAATTCTTGCAGCGGGGATGTGGCCATCCCCTCCATATAGCGAATTTAAGCCACTCAGACTAGGCTTGTGATTTCTTATTTACCTTCTAGAACTGCCTAAGCAGTAGCACACAATCTCCAGGAGGTGACAGACTGAGAAACAGTCAGCCAGAGGGAAGATGGAGGAAGAAGTGCGGGGGAGCACTCCACCAAGGGTGTCCAAAAGGCACCGGCAAAGACAAGAAAAGCTTACAGGTGAGGCAGTGGCAGAAAAAAATTCCTGGCATTTCTTACCAACACAAGTCTTCACAAGCATATGATATTCATGCATTGTTGGGGGTAAGAGAAGCGGGTGGCATTTTAATTTGGTTTTGTTTTGCTTTTTAAATCATCATTTGATTAGTTCTTGTGGTAAGTCAGCCCCCACCGTTCCTGTCTGCCAGGACAGACCTCTGTAATGCCCCATTAAAATGCTTAGGAAAGTAGTGACATCCACATGGTTGTTACTTGTTAGTAAGGCCAGTGTGGCTTTTAGAAACATGCTTGTAATAACTGTTTGAATGATAATTATCCCCTGGCTTTGATAAAGGAATACTTAAGTGAATTGTTTAGGTTGTCTAAAGGATGCACGGGTCAATTCCTATCCCAGCGGCTTTATTATCTGTAAAACTGAGGTGGTGTCAAAACTCATTATTGCTTCTAAAAAGCTTTACGTTTAAGAACAGCTAATTATTGCCAAACTGGCTGGTATGGGAGATATCTGAGGAAAATTTTGTCGTTTCAGGAAACTGTATTGGTAACTCATCTTATGGCACTGTGTCATCAGAGCCCCTAATGAATCAGTCCCGAGATGTCACTAGGGAGACCATGCTCTTTTGACAGCAGTGGCCATTCGTAACTGTTAAAGAATTCAAAACACCTTGCAGGAAAACAATCATGCTTTTTGTTGTTGTTCACAGAATTCACAGAATTCACAGAATTGTTAGGGTTGGAAGGGACCTCTGGAGATCATCTAGTCCAACCCTCCTGCCAGAGCAGGGTCACCTACAGCACGTTACACAGGACAGCGTCCAGGCGGGTTTTGAATGTCTCCAGAGTGGGAGACTCCACCACCTCTCTGGGCAGCCTGTGCCAGTGCTCCACTTGTTGTTATTTCTGTAGACGTTCTTTCTAGCGCTTCGGCACTACGGGGCAGGTGACATTAAGCGGGGAATATACTGACTCTCAGCATCACTCTGCGCTTACGGATATCCAAGCAGCAGACTTTTCACAGGAAAGATGCAGTAACAGGACTAATCCCTGCAAACGCAGACTGGTTAGTCAAATTTCCATGCACTGAGTTTTAGATCCATACAATTGTCTGTCCCCTCAACCTTCCCCAAAGCAAGGTCTATACTTCACAACCCTCGTTTCTGAGACATTTTAGCTGTATTCAAGTTATAGGTGAATAAACATAACAGAGACCCCCCAAAACGCCAAATAGATCTCACTGGATGGTAGAAAAACTCATAAAAACATCTCTCTCTCTTCTGTTTTTATGTGTACAGAAGATAAATGGTTGCACGTAAAGTATTGTACTTCTGAGTTCATTAGCTTTTATTCAACCCAGGCAAGAAACCTCTCAAAGTTGTTACTAAATGATCATATTTCTGTGTTGTCAGTTTGATCCTTGCAGGATGTGTCCATCTGGGAGAAAATACCCACTCAGGTGCATCGACTGCCACAGCTGAGAGGTCAAGGATTGAATGGGTGATGGAGTCTTCAATATCTACACATCTCTGAGGGAGCCCTGCATTAATGAAAATACTTCTGCATACATCTTACTGCTGAATAAAAGCATTATTTTCAGATGTTGTCAGTCTCTAGCCTGACACAGATATTAAATTCACACGATCTCTCTTTAAAACGTGCACGTGTGAGTAGATTTTGAACAACATTGTACCTTGCAATGAATTTTCGTTTTTCAAAACCGCAAAGCAGGCAGGTGGTTATGAACGTGTCTTAAGCTATTTCTTCAGCCTGAAATGTAAGTACTGTTTGAAAACATTTAAGGAAATAGAACATCTTAGTAGGAGCCGCAGCAACTTTTCATGAATTTATTTTAGCTTGCATCGGTATTCCGAGCTACAAGGATTATAATGTAGTAGAGAGACTCTCATTGGAAGAGGGGATTGAAGGCATCGAGGCAGCAGCCCTGTGAGTTGACAGGGATGCTAATGCAGCCACAGCAGAAGTTTAGAGAGCAGATCAGAGCAGCTGGGTGGGCTGATAGAGAGGATCAGGGCAGCCCAGAGGAGCAGTAAGAGGATCCAAATAAGTGGATTAGTAGCATACCAAAGCACACATTACTTTTAGTTTTCAAACTCCCATTGATTTTAGTGCAAGTGCATTTACTAATGTGTGGCAGGAGAAATGGAAGAGGATCAAGGCAGAATGGAGACACAGAGAGCAGCTCCCTGTGGCAAGCAGCTCCCAATAGCGAGAAGGCTGGGCTGGGGAGGCACGGCGTCATGTTCCCACATCAGTCTCAGTCAGGACTTAAAGGAGGGTGGCCACTCTCTGGGCTTCTTCATCCCGCGGCCTCAAGGAGCTGTCTAACGTTGCTAAATGCTATTGTTCCTGCAGCTGATGCCGCATTCATTTTCCATCCGTAACTCCAGCGACTGACTCTTTTCATTGCTGCACTCTTACATCTGCCTTCAGCTGCAGTGACTGAAGCAAACTGACACAAAAATGTAGGTGTGAATAGTAGCATAACCCTCTGTGAACTCTTCCTACCAGGGGACTCCCTGGGCTGCTGGACACCGAGCTGAGCTTGCCGCAATTTGTGCCTGTAATGTTCATCAGAAATAGGACCACTTACCCAAGCTGTGCTCGGGCTCCTGTGGTTAACGTTGACTCCTGAAGTACCCAAACCTCAAACATACCCTCTCCTGGAATGCCAGCCTGGCTTTACACTTTGTCTCTTCAGACACAGGCGGTAGCAATGCAAAGACACACCCAGACTAAAATTTCTAAGCACTGTTGCTCTTTGTACAGCACAAACCCCAAAGTTCTAAGCAAAATAAGGAGCCCTACTCACATTGCCCCCAGTTCCCTTGAAGCACCTCCGGTTGTAAGGGGGAGGCAGGGCAAAATTTGTGCAGCTCACGATTTCTCCATGCTGCAGCGAAGCACAGGACATGCATGTATGCAGGCAGACTTTTTTTTACTCTACCACATGAGCTTCCATAAAAGCAGTGGTGATACCTTTTCTTCTTTATCCCCCAACCGTATCTGTTGTTTAGACACCTTGGTCTCCCCACCCACTCCTCCCAGAATTCAAATCCAAAACCTGGTTTGTCCTAGGGAAGAATTAATACCTTAATATCCAATTATTCAACAAGGATTTGATCAGAGTGGATGACCATCCAACTTTGACACTTAGACTGTAATGCCCTTCCTCACAGTCTTAGTCCAAGCTACACGTAAAAGGACAGAGGGGAGGAAAAGCCCAGCCTTACAGTCAAAATGGGGTTTGCATTCTGATACAGAAATATACAGAGGGTTTGTAACCGCACACACAAAGAAGACTTTGTACATAGATTCAGCTATATTCTTTATTGTTGAAACAGTTCTGGAATGTTTTGGTCTCCCTGATCTGGCAAACAGATGAAAACATCGGTCCGTCTTGTTGGTTTTTCTTTTGAATTTATATGAGGAAGATTAACAAGCAGCAGAATGGACAAGAAGCTATTTCAAAATAGTGTCCCAAAGGAAAAAAGGATAGAGACATAAGATGTCAAGTACCATGACTAAAATGAGCCAGGAAGAACTTAAGGTGGAATCAGAAAACAAGGTAAACTGCACTCCTTCGGACTTCTTCAGGACATCCAGAAATGTACCTGTGTAACAACCCGGTCTTCAGATGCGACACAAAAGCCCCCTGAAAGGGGAGGTTTGCAGTAAGACAGCACAACATCGACCTGACCTATCGTCAAGTCGGGAGCTGAGAAAAAGTACTGCCCACGTATTTTGTATGACCACAAAAACATCACCAAAAACCTGCAAGGGAAAAACGCTACCAGAGTTTATAAAATCCTCAATTACATTTATTTGGCCTCTTCCTACTTCACCCGGCCGCACGTGAATTCTTTGACATTAGACTTGAAGCCTCAGATCAAATCGTCCAGTTTGTGAGACTTTTCCCCAGTATAATTTTGCCAACTGAAAAGCTGGAGCTCTTAGCACACCCATATAATTCTCCTCAGCTCTAGGATCCTTCAGTCTTCTTTGTCCTACACCATCCTACTTTCGGAATAATTATCAAAATATTGTAATTAACTGGACACACCTGTGAGCCTGGAAGCAAAGGAAAAGCCTGGGACATCCCGATGTGAAGAACACTGCTGCTGTTAATACTGAAGTATTACTAGATTAATTATATTTAATTGGTTAGCTCTTGATCTAGCATCTGAAATTGAAAAAAAAAAAAGGCATTTTACAAACCAGAAAATTGTTGGGAACATTAATATTAGTTAGAATGGGGAGGGGATATTTTGAAAGCAACTTGCAGCATAATAAAACGGTAGCTAGGAAATAGGGATAATCATACTGACTTGGAATATGTTGCAAGATAAAGCCCTTATTTAGTTAGCTAATTTCATGGCATTTTGAAAAACACATTACTCAATTAATGGTTTGATTGAGGAAATACTTTGCAACTGCTCATGAATACATACAAAATGCTCTGAATTTTCCAATATTTTTACCAGAAAAAAAAAAGGAACTATGGATTCTTAATGTGTAATAGTAACAATCCAATAGAGACATTATCTGAAATAAAAGATTAAATCAAAAGCTGACTACCGCTCAGAGCCAGTGCACTTTATCCTAAGTCACTTGGCTGCCACAGCGATGCAGCCGGCCACTATCTAGTGTGACACAAGGCAGCCATTCTAATGGAATAAAGACGACTTTCATCTCTGGGTTTCTCCAGCTAGAATAATGCAATGGCGGCCCGTGACAAATGAGCAGATGGTCCCAGTCCAGTTGTAGGATGCCCACCCCAAAATGCCTCCACGACAGGCTCACAACTTACTGTATGTGGGAGCCTTTGAGTTCTTGAAGTAGTTCTGGGTTTTTTTAAGTCACGGCTGAGAAACATCAGCAGTACAGGACGGAAAGCTTGGTTTTCAGCTCCCAGATCCTCCTACATGTTGTGTGGATAACTAGAAGACTTTGACCTAAAGTCACCTTGTCCCAGTTTCTAATTCACTTTTATGCAGATGAGATGACAGGATCGGGGCCTAGGTATCAAAACTGGCTAACACTTCCATAAATGAAAACTGCAAGATTTACTCATATGAGTGACTGTAATTAGGTTTGCCTGCAGGATCAGGCTTATTCTGCATGTAGAAAAGAATGAATCTCTTTAATTCATGAGAAGAAAAAGAGAAATACTAATAAAAGGGGGATGTGCTAACTCTCGTAAAACATTACTTGAAACTGCAGTGTGCAGCATTCAGACTGAAATATCATTTCGAATCATGAGTGTCCCTTTAAGCAAAAAAATCCAACACAGAGAAGGAAGAACTAAAAAGCAGAAAAAGAGCACTTGATAAAACACTGCCATCACTTTTTCATAAATTATACCCCAAAACGTTTCACAAAATTGAGTAACAGAGGAAAACAGAAAAGACCTTTTTATTTTTGTAGCACATTCCTTTGGCAAATGCAGGATAAAGCCCATCATGTGATTTGAACAGTAAATGAAGGCCTTATGCTTTATAAAAATTCTCCTATTGTCCCAGGAAGGATGAGAGTCAAACACAACAGTTTCAGCAATGCTGTAAGTCTTGTAAATAAAGTTAGCAGACAGGAATCAGCAGACTGCTTGGGAAGCAAGAAAAAAAAAAAAAAAAGAGAGAGAGAAAATACTCTTTTTGTACACAAAATTTAAGCACACTGCTGCTGCATTTCAGACCTGACTTCGCTGCGCTGTACCAGAGATTAATTGGACCCACACAATTTAGCAAACAGCACATGACATCCATCTACCTTTGCTGCTTCAGCATCCTCCCAAAAATATATAATGCAGGATTTTAAATAGTACGCTAGCCCAGTTTCCTTTCACAAAGTCTTACAGCGAAGTTTAGGAAAATTCCAAAAGTAGCATATTGATTGCCTCTGGGATTTTCCACTTAGCAATTTAATAGAAAATTACACCCTTACCCAATCTGTGAGGTTTCCATAACCTCCCTCATGAATTTAATTTTCCGGAGTCTAATAAATTTTACCATTAGGCATATTTTCTGATATTGCTTCACCATTAAGCCCATTTCCTGATTTTGGTTTTTTTTTCGGAACCGGGTATACCGTCTGCACCACGTTTGGACAGCACCTCGCACAAGAGAACGCAGGTCTGACTCTGTCTACCCTCACAGTTAGGATACAAATCACTATTGTTAATATTCAGTTTACTTTCCTCTTACTAATTTTATGTCATTATTCCAAGTGATAGGGCCAGTCAATACTACTGGAGCCAATGGGATTCTCCTGGGTACTCCGCCGAGACCAAGGGAAAATCTGCGTTTGCATCTGTTCGAGTAGGCGTATGCAAGTATCACATACTCTTCTCCTTGTCAAAACACAGCCTGACTACACTTAAAACACAAGATGATGATCGGGAGCTGTGTGTTTTCAGTTATCGGTAGTCGTAACTGTAAAAGCCTGGGTCCTTCCTCTACAGGCAACAGGCAAAAGCACTCCTGACTGTGAAAAAAAAAAAAAAGTATGCAAACTAATTTAGGCAAAAGCACTCTTTGACTGTAAAAAGAAACCCACAACACTACACCAGAAAAGAGTTCAGCGTAAGTGAACTGGAAGTATGGCCGAAGGCGTCAAGTGGTGAATAAACCCAAGTGCTGATTCCAGCTGTGTTTGGGCCATCGGTGTGGCTGTGGTGACCTCCTGGTGGCCATCGGCGGGTTGCCGGACCCGCTAAATCTCACTCCAGCGAAGAGCCCTGGCTCCTCTCCTCCGGCCACGGCCACCCACCTCGCACCGAGGCGGGCCAAGCTCCGCGTCCCTCAGGCCAGCCGGCGCTTCAGCACGCTCCTCCGGGCCTCGGTCCGCGACGCAAGCGGGCACATCCTTGCGATAATTACTGTAAAACACGGTAATAAGCAGCTGTCAGCGTCAGCCGAGCCCCGCTTCTGGGTTTTGCCTACTTTCCGCACCAGCGCCAAGTTCAACCCCATCCTCGCCGGACCCTACCCCGGGAATCTCTCCGGTCCCGCTAAACAACAAGAGTTTCCTCCTTCCCTCCTCCGACCCCTCAGGGAACCCACCGCC